CCCCCAGCAGAGCTGAAGCTCAGGTTGTAGCTTTCTTAAACTCACACGCCGGATCGGCGGATTTCTCTTAGCAGTGCTTGCATTTAGGGGTTTCAATTTTGTTCCAAGGAATTGGGCCTGGGCGCGGCTATGTGGTCGCCGTCGCCGCCCCGTCGCCCCCTCGTCCGTCGCATGGGCCTGCCGGCCGCTGTGGCCGCCATGTGGCCGCCGTCGCCGCCTCGTCGTGCCCTCTGCCGCGTCGCCGCCGCGACTGGGTCTCAAAGACTGCACCGCGCAGCTTGCACCACAGAGATTCTCCTTTTCCGAAAGAGTAATAAAATCTACCGCCCCCCCCGGAATTGACGGGACCCCCTTCTGCGTATTGCAGTTTACATGCGATTCTGCCCCATCGTCCATCCGAAACTTGAAATCATACCATCCCACGCAGGCCGGCATTCCCTCCCTCACCTTTTGCAAAAGATACTATGCGCGCACATTCGTTTATCACATAATAATCCATTGTCTAACACCCTGCTGCAAAACATGGGACGAAGTGCGCGCGCGCATCGTCGCTTGCTCATGCCGAAATCCTTCAAACATATATGATTTCGTATGGGCTTCAAAGTCGAATGTCCTGAACATATGAGAGCACATGGTTCCGCAACAAGGATGTTCACACATACAATTATTAGTAATGATAGTTGTAACAGTAGTAATAATAGTGGGCATCAGCATAATAACTCTAATCCGAAGAGTAGTAGTAGTAGTAGTAGTAGTAGTAGTAGTAGTAGTAGTAGTAGTAGTAGTAGTAGTAGTAGTAGTAGTAGTAGTAGTAGTAGTAGTAGTAGTAGTAGTAGTAGTAGTAGTAGTAGTAGTAGTAGTAGTAGTAGTCGTAGTAGTAGTAGTAGTAGTAGTAGTAGTAGTAGTAGTAGTAGTAGTCGTAGTAGTAGTAGTAGTAGTAGTAGTAGTAGTAGTAGTAGTAGTAGTAGTATAGTAGTAGTAAAAATATTGCAATCGTGTTCTTGCGACTTCTCAGGAAAACCACATGTTGTTTCCAACATGTGCATCGGATGCTACCAAAGGGGCTTCTCGCGCGCGCGCATGTCGGAATCGTTCGGCCGCCCTTGCGCGTGTGTTGTCGCAAGAGTTCGCTTCAGAAGAATAGGACGAATTTCACACGCGCGCGTCGTCGCGCGCGCATGCTGGAATGGCTCAAAAACTTGAGGTTTCGTAGGGGTTTAAAAGCCGAGTGCCCCGAAAACATTTGAAACACACATGGCTTTACAACCGTGGTGTTCAGACATGCTTGCTCGTGTTCACTTGCAAATTCTTAAGCAAGTCACGGGTTTCTTCAGCATGGCATCAAATAAGGGCAAGCGGGCATCTCGCGCCGCACGCCCTTGCGCGCGGGCTCGGGGGTGCACAACCCATGTCAAATGTCCATGCGGGCCACATTTGCGCCGCGCGCGCATGTAGACCTGCTTCCAAAACCTTCATCACCGACGCGAGGACGCCGCCACCGCCGTCGGCATGATCAGCATCGGCGCGGTCACTGGCCTTGCCGTCGTCGTTGTCACCATCTCCACCAGCATCGCTACCATCATCACCACGCCTACCGTTGTCGACGTTGCCATGATACCGCGCCCGCCCAAGTCGCCGACTCGCATTGAAGTGCCCGTTGAAAAGTGCCCAGCGGTCAGCGCCACCGCGGTCGCGTCGGCCGCGCCAAACTAGCTGGCCGCTGCGCGCGCGAACATGCGCGGGCTTGCGCGGCCGTAAAGGTGCACCAGCCAACACCAAGCATTGATCGCAATTGCCGCCGCATGGGTTTTGGAAAACAAATTGCGGGTGGGCGGGTGGGAGAATTGCGCGAGCAGTGCACCTGACAATTTCAAGTTCGGTTGGGTGAAGTTCACCGCATATATGACACCGCGCACCTTGCCACACATAGCTTACGCCACATACATACTCTTTTGTAGAAGAGATATAAACTCTCCCCCCCCTTCCTTCCCCGGACTTAACGGTTCTCATTCGCGTATTGCGTTTTCATGGTGGTGTTGCACGCTCGCCCATCCTAAATATGTGTTTCCCCCTGCTAGACCGATATCGCCCACCCCTTTTCATCTTCTGCAGAAAGGACTATGCGCGCGCATTCGTTCATCACAAATCATAGACATAAGACCATCAGCTTCCAGGAATCACGGGACGAAGTGAAAGCGCGCGCGTCGTCGCGCGCGCATGCAGAAATTCATCAATAACACGAGGTTTCGTGGGGATTGCAAAATCGAGCGCCCTGGATTGCAAAATCGGGTGCCCTGAAAACATGTTATATATATATATAAAGAGGAAGAAGAAAATGATTTTGCAACAAGAATATCCCAAAACAGCCTGCGCCCGCGCTCTTGCGAATTCTTGGGGGACCCATAGGTTGTTTCAAAAGTGGTGTGCATAAAAATGTGTGCTTCTCTCGTGCGCATGTCGAAATCATTCGAACGCCCTACTACGCCGTTGCGCGCGTGCTACTGCAAGAACCCATTTGCGAAAACATGGGACGAAGTGCACACGCGCGCGTCGTCACGCGCGCATGCCGAAATCATATACCTATACTACAAACAGCAAAAGAACAACAAGACAAAAACCAACGCTTGGGTTTCGCAGGGGATTCAAAAACGAATGTCCCGAAAACAAGCAAAACAACGCATAGTTGTGCAATCACAATGTTTCAAAATTATATAAAATGTATGAATTATAATGATAACAGCAATCATAAGACTAACACGAATAATAATAATAATAATAAGAAGAAGAAGAAGAAGAGTAATAACAACAATGATAATAACAACACGAATCCGAAAACGAATATTAACAACAACACAAAATGCGCGCGCCTTGCGAATTCTTCAGAAGACAAGTTTTTCAATTTGTGCATCAAAGTAGGCCAAACGGGCTTCTCGCGCCGCATGTCGAGCTCATCCGGACGCCCTTGCGCGCGTGCTGCCCCGATACGCGTCAAATGATTCCATGAGGGCCACACTTGCGCGTCGGCCGCGCGCGCATGTAGACCTTTTCCAAAACCTTCATTACCGACGCGAGGACGCATCGTCGTCGGCGTGATCAGCATCGGCGCGATCACTGGCCTCGCCGTCCCGTCGTCCTTGTCATCATCGCCACCAGCATCACTACCATCATCATCACGTCTACCATTGTCGACGTTGCCATGGTACCGCGCTCGCCGAAGTCGCCGATTCGCACTGAAGTGCCCGCTCGGAGCGGGATCGATGTAAGGATCGAGGGGTCGGGATCGCACACGCTTCCCATTCACCCGTTCCGAGTCATCCCGCTCGAGCTCGAATCGTGGTGGGTTCCGTAAGTCGGCTTTCCAGCCGCACATCCCAAAAAAGTTCGGAGACGACAGTGTGTCTTGGGCTGTGCGACACAAAAAGAGAAGGGTCGGGGAGGGACTGGAGGGGAGGGGAGCTCCCTTCACCGCCGCGCTCGCCCCTCATATTTACCCAGCTCCTCCCCCTCTCCTCACGTCCCTTTTTCGCTTGGAGCTTGAATGAATCACACCTTCGCGTCGCTCCCCTCTTCGCCATCCCTCCCCTCCCCCGTCCCCCCTGCCCTCTCGTCCCCCTTCCTCCCTCGCTCCTTACCTTTCCTGCTACCGTCGCCTGGCCTCTCTCCGCGTGTCTGGCACTTCCCTTTTCCTTAGGCACAAGAGACCTCCTGGACAGGGTATTGGACAGGTGCAGTGCGCAGCACGGGTGAAGCTGTCGAGGTGGTTGGTCATGAAGGTCAGCAGTGGCTGCTCGCCGTCTGGGAGTTCCTTCGGTCAGAGGCTGCAGAGAATCCCCGCTTTCGCGACCTTGCCCTGCAGCAGTTTGAGCTCAAATGCGATCTTGACCTGGGCTTTTTCTGGCTCATCGGTTGTCGTTTTTCTGGTGGCCTCCGGCCGATCCCGCCACCATGTTCTCGCGGCCTCTGGGGTCTCTCTGGGAAGCCTCTTGCGGAGCGGGCGCGGGGGGTCGATCACAGCGGCGGGGCGCGGTGGGTGCAGAGCGAGAGAGTCCGGCGAGGGCGCGCGGGATGGTGGAGCGGGTGGCGTTGGGGCGGGGTGGGGGCGAATGATGGAGGAGGAGGAGGAAGGGGGAGGAGGAGGCAGGGGGAGGAGGAGGAGGAGGAGGAGGAGGAGGAGGAGGAGGAGGAGGAGGAGGAGGAGGAGGAGGAGGGAGGGTAAGGAGGAGGAGGAGGAGGAAGGAGAGGAGGAGGAGGAGGAGGAGGAGGGAGGAGGTGGGCATGGCGGAGGCCGTGAGGGGCGCAGGGCGGGAAGGTCGCCTTGGGCGGGAGATCTCTTGGGCACCTGGCCCGGCGCAACCTCCCGGGGCAGAGCTGCAGGAGAAGGCCAGAGCTGCTCGGCGAGCCTGAGCCCTGGGAGGTTCATGCGACACGCCCCAAAGATCTCGGGCCTGACGGGGCTCGGAGCCCTCAACAAGCCTGAACCTTCCTACGCGCAGTCTTCACGCCTGTGCGAGCCATGGGGCACCTCACCACGTGCTTGGGGCGCGGTGGGCGGATTTTGATGCGCCCGCTCGGGATCAGGGCGCCTCCGGTGGCCCCTTATACGATAGTGGAGACAGATCCATTCTTGAGAGGTCTCAGCGTGGGCCCCAGGCAAACTCTCCCAACGTCCTGCTGGATATACTGTGCCGCCTGCACCTGTTCGTATATTCTGCTTGCGCTCCCCTGGACGTACTACATCCTCTTGAGGGTCGTCACCGACGCGTCGATCAAATCGTTCGTAATGGTTCAGGACGAGCTCGTCCAGCAGTTCTGCCACGTGGGCCTGACGATCGAGAACATCACGTACAACACTTGGTGGCCAGGGTGTGGTCACGATTTCCCCAGCCAGACCTGCACTGAGCCATGCTACGACATTGGTCTCCTCGAGGACATGGATGCTTTCAACAAGAACAACCCTGGGAAACGTGTGACCTTCCAGTCTCGCCCGGGAGCAGGTCACGATGGCAGTCCTATCGGTGTGGTCGAGCTGGAGGGGTGGTGGCTGCCGGCGCCCAACGAGCCAGCGGGAGCCCGGGCAGGTCGGGCTCCAGGGCTTCTCCATGGGCGCCTTCGTGACGGCCATCGCGCTCGGCCTCGAGGGCCGTGCGCCGGCGGCGTGGGTGGACTCGGGGCCCTGGACGACCGAGGTGGCGTTCGCGCAGAACTTCCGCACGACGGCCGAGGATCATGAAGGAACAAAAAGCACCCAGACACAATTCATCGCCGATTCCCGGGAGAATCTGGGAACGCGTGGGAAGTGGGGGGGGGAGGTCGAACAGCCAGAAAATGTGGGGAAAGACGGGGAGCCTTGGGATTTTTGCGTGTATCTACTTGTGTGTCCCTGGGCCCCTTTCTAGAGGAGGTGGGCCTGGGCTTCATGTCCGGCCTGCTGCTGCCCAGGGTCTGGGAGGGCGTGAGCAAGGCGGCGCTGGAGAGGGGGGTCGACTACTACTGGCAGCTCCCGCAGCAGACCCTCCCGCTGGGGCCAGACACGAGGAGGCCGATATACGCTCACGCCAACGTAGACGACGCAACGGTGCCGTTTTCCGAGCACGTGCGGTTGATGGATTTCCTCGCGCAGTACCCCCAGAAGTATGCCGTGGGGAACTGGGTGTCGTCAGGCTTCTGCCATGGAAGCGCCCACCACCGAGAAATTCTCAGTAAGCATGAAGAGTACAAAGATCGACTCTGCACATTCTGGACGGAGGCGTTTGACTTAGAGCCATCATATTGCAGTTACGGACCAGCACTCAAGTGAAAAACGTGCGCGGCAGCATGTTTATTTGTTCAGAAGCGCCGGCCTTATTGGTTGGGTGCACACACGTTATCACATGTCCTCTCACTTCCCTTACTTTCCTCCTGTCCCTCACCTCCACTGCGCAAGCATGCTACTATCGAACGCGCCTACGGCGAACCACCGCCGCCCCCTGCCTTGTGGAAACGCCCATGTGGCCACACGATGGGCCAAAGCTTGGCCAAGCTGTTGGAATATGTGCTCTCCCAGCCGTTGTGGAAACCCTTGGTGAAATATCCGGGGAAAGGAATGGAGGAGGAGGAGGAGGAGCAAGAGGAGGAAGAGGAGGGGAAGGGAGAGAGTGGATGAAGAGAAGGAGGCAAAGGAGGAGGAGGAGGAGGAGGAAGAAGAAGAAGAAGAAGAGGGGCCTCTGAGGGGCCTCTGAGGGGCCCGTGGGGACTAAGAAGCATCTTGGCCTTCGGAGGTCGTCGTGAGGGCCTCTCTGGGCCGTCGTGGGGCCATCGTCGGGCGCTTTAGTCCTGGGGGCCTCTTGGGCCGGGCATATTTTGCCACGTTGGGGCCATCCTGGGCCGTCTTGGAGACATTTTGTGCGAACTTGGAGGCCTCTTGGACCCTCTTGGGCAGTCTCGGAGGTCATCTAGGGCCGTCTTCGACCAACATCTCCATTGTGTGAGGATGTCTCCGGCGAAACGACTGTTTTGGGCCGATGGGATGGTATTTGCCCAGGTCCTTCAGTGTGGCCAGCGGGTCGAGGCTGAAGCCATTGGGGATCCTTACAAAAGTTTTGAGAACAGCAGAAAGTTCAGCTGGTGGCTTTCGGCCAATCTCGCCACCGCGCTCCTGGGCGCCTCTTGGGGCCCTCTTGGGGCACTCTTGGGAGCCTTGGAGGCCATCTTGGAGGTAGTCGATCAAAGGAGGGGGAGGGCCCCCCCAGGAGGCCAAAATGAGCCCAAAACCCTGAGTAAAATCAATGATTTTTGCAA